TCCTTCCCCTTGTTGGAGCTCTGGAACGTATGCTGCACTCCTCCTTTCGGTGTCCGGAAGTAGGTGTTGATCAGGGAGAGTCGGTTGTCTGCTGCCAGTCCGAGAAGTCGTTACGTGTGTGTCGGTTTGGTTCTGCTGCGACGTGTGTGTCGGTCGGTGTGGGTCTGCTGCTGCTGTGTTCTTTTATTGACCTCGTCCACACCGAGTGGCCAACTTTGGCACGTGTTCAGACCAGCTACCACGCATCTCCTCCTCTACAGCTCGCGGCTTTCACTATCNACTTTCCGCAGCACGGGTTATGCTGTTGTGATGGTGCGCGCGGAAAAAACTCCCCCCACTCGGGGTCTAGTATTTTGATCGGTTTCCGAGGGCTCTTTTCTCGAACGGTCGGTGCGATACCTGTTCTTTTCTTTCTATCATTTTGTTTTCTTGTTCCGAATGGTTTGTACCCTATTTTTGTTTTGTTTCCCGCGGCGTCGTATGTGCCGGGTTTTGAGACCACGGGCTCCCCATTTTTTTTGAACTATAGAGCTAATAATGTGAGAAACAACAACAACAACACCAACAACAACAACAGCAACAACTGGAACACTGTTGCCACAGGTGACTGAGGTGCTGCACGGAAGCGAGAAGAAAACATGCCGCGGTGTGCTGCAGTTGTACAGCATATGTAAGTACCGAACTCCAGTCAATGTATTAACTCCTTCACTACCGTATGTGCACGAGTTGAAAAATTGATACTACTAGCGGACCCGCGTTTCGTGAGGCCAACTGAATGCCAAGGGTCGACCCTGGACGAACGCGTTGTGCTTTGTTCGTGAGGTGGATTATGCCATCCTTACGAAGGCTACTACTAGCCTGTGGTGACACCCATGTGTGGTTTTGAGCTAGATGCAATTGCGCAAGTAGTGGCTGTTACTCGTTCTTGGATCTTCGGGGTATCTCCGATCATATCTTTCACAAGTTGTCACGTGTTCGGCTGTCGCGTGTTCCGAGTCCCGAATGCGTCTTTTCTACGAGGAATTACTTGCGGCTGTTGCACGAGTGCCTCGATGTTTGTGATGCATCCTGGTGCTCACTCTCTTCCGTGGGTTGTGCCCACGAAGGCATCCAATAGAAAGTCTTAACCATCCCTCCACGTTTGTCAACCGGGTCAGCCGTGCTAATCCAGCAGCACTAGGCTTGGGGCCATTCAACACTCTAGAGTTTTGGGCTTTTAACGCCATAGTCTAGTGTGACGGACACACATGTGTTCGCAAGAATCGGGTAACCCTGGCGGAGGCGGGGCCGGTCCGACCCATGAGGAGCTACGGACAGCCATCGATGACGCCGTCGGCGACGCCAGCACCAGACTGGAAAGGATGGTTGAAGAGAAATTGGAGGGCATCATGGACTCCTTGTCCCGATTAGTGCCCGGGGCACCGCCTGCCGGGAGTGCGACCGCGGCAGGCGGCGGAGGAGAGTCATCGGGAGGGGCGCACACCCTTCCGGGCGCTGGGTGTTCGACGGAGCACGCGCCAAGTACCGGACGGGGACTCGAGGGAGCGAGAGGACTGCTAGGCCCAGCGCCACGAGAGCACACGCCATCCGAGGGAGGTATCTCGCGAGAAGGCGCCCACAGCGAGCAGGCCGCATGGTATGCCACATACTCACACGCCCGGATCCCGCGCCTGAAACAACTAAGCTTTGATGGCCATGAGAAGAACTGGCTCATGTTCAAAAACGAGTTCACTACGCAGGTCCAAACATGCGGAATGGATCGTGCCTTGAATGATAGCAGGGACATTGTGGTACAAGGTGTAGATGATGACGGTATGGTAAGGCAGGGAGTGAGGAGAGAGGAGATTGCCATGTACCGAGATCTGTGGGTATTACTGACCGAAGCGATCTCAGAAAGTGCGACCAAGATTATGGTGTTTGGTTGCAAAGGACCCTCGGCAGCGTGGCGTGCGTTGGAAGAGACATTTTCTCCGTTGACAGGCGGCGAGCAAATATCACTGATGGCAAAGTTTTTCGACGCCCAACAGGGGAAGAACCAGGATCCACGAGTGTTCTTTCAGGAGTTCAAGTCCATAGTGACCAGCCTAGAGTTGGCATTTGAACAACCCATCCCAAAGATGCTCGTTTATGCGCGATTCCTCGACGCGCTTTCACCGGAATTCGAACTTCAAAAGCAACTGTTGCTCGCCCAGAAAACACTCGATGAAGAAGAGATTTTGAGAGTGTTGCGTACACGGGCTGGGCAACTGAAAGTGGAGGTGACGAAGGGGAAGAGTGAACGGCGAGCGCACCAGGCGGTCGTAGCAGTAGAGGGGAAGGGGAGAGAGAAGAGACGGTCGAGACAAACCAGAGGGGACGAAGAGGCGTACTTGGCCAACGATAAGAAGTCAGTCAGGTGCTACATTTGCGATGGGGAACACTATGCAAGTGCATGCCCAGAGAAGCTTTGCCAGAGGTGCGGGAAAAAGGGGCACAACGCAAAGAACTGCCCATCGAAACCTACGGACGAGACTGCAGTCACCGCAGTCGAGTTGGACGTAGCATACGAAGCACTCTGATGATCTGATGATATCTCGATCTGTTTTTCCCCGTGGTGCCTCAACGTCCCTCCCCTTGCGTGCGTTGCTTGCGAATCGGCTTGTGGGCATTTTCCTTTGCGACTATTGAAATTACAATCATGTGGAATTTTTTCTGCGGAATAGTCGTCGACGATGTAGAGTTTGGGTTGAAATGAGGCCTCCTGCTACG